TTTGACTTCAGTTGGATCATATTCACTCAAAATCAAATGAAAAATAACTTTTAACCCACTTTACAACATATTTAGGTGTCTACTTTGACTTGCTTTAAAAAATAATGTCAAAACTGTTTTCCTTTACAGATTTGTTGTAATGTATTTTCAGATTTGCAAACATTAATTAATAATTTGTACAGTTTGTTTACTTTCTGATTCAACTGCTTGTCGTTTGAACTGTGTTTGGTGAATGTAAAAATAGTTTCCGTGAGCTTTTAGCCAAGTTTCTTAGGTTTATTTTGATGCCAACCATGTCCAAGTTCAACTGACAGATCTGAAGTTAAAATAAGTTAAAGGAAATAGAAAATGGAAAAAACTGTGTTGCCCCTGGTACCGGTTTAGACTTCATTTAAATCTAACAAAGTCACTCAGAGCTCAGCACTTACATTGCATCTTCACAGAAAATGAACTTCTTCTGGTTAAAAAAGAAATTTACATGACAAATGTTTTCCCTCAGGTGACAGGTGACAAGATCGTAGGGACCAACTTGGTGACAGGTCTCCCCAGGAACAGCCCAGGCAGCAGCAGGGACCTGATAGTCCGGACCGGCAAGTTAGTGCTCCCGGTCACCTGCGAGTTCCCCAGAGAGTACCAGGTGTCAGACGAATACCAGGCCAGCCTGCGCGGCGGCTCGGCCCTGGAGCTGGCGGGTCACAGCGAGGGAGTCTTCCGGTTCAGCCTGGAGCTCTTCAAGAACTCGCAGTTCTCCGAGCCCTACAGAACCCCGCCTCAGCTGCGCCTGCACGACTCGCTGTTCTTTGGGGTTGAGCCCAAAGAGAGAGTGGAGGGCCTCTCTGCCCAGGTGGAGAGCTGCTTCGCAACTCCAGGACCCAGAGCCGACCAGGGCCTCAAGTACTACCTCATCAAAGACGGGTGAGCGTGTTTCACACACTGTAAAAAATAACTTATAAAATTTACCAGAGAAAATCCTGTAAACGATTTGCACTAACGTTTGGTAAGTAAATTTAAATGCTACAAATTCATGTAATATTTACTCTCCTCATTATCTAGTAAAAGTTATTAAGAATATAGTTAAAGATTTGTGAATAAATCAGGTAAATTTTACTTAATTTGCTCAATTAAATCTTGTAACATATACTTGATCAAATTAAGTAAAATTTACCTGATTTATTCACAAATCTTTAATTATATTCTTCTGGTCAATTCATGAAATGAGACACGTTATAAGGA